CCACGCCACCCCACCCAAAGGATTGGGATTCCTATTCCATAGTCTGTCAAGAAGTAAAAAACTCGTGACAAAAAACCCCCCAAACCCTAATATTAATAAAATAATAAATATTACTAAATTAATATTAAGATAATAATAATATATTAATAATAAAAATAATAAAAAACAAATATATTATTTATTAAATTATAATAAATTAATAAATTATTAATACAATATAATAATAATGTAAGAATAAAATAACAATATATTATAAAATATTCATAAATTAATGATATACAAAGATATTAATTATTAAGTACTACTAAAATAATAATACAAAGTAGTAATAAAATAATAATTATATATTCATAAAATATTAATAAAGTAATAATAAACAAAATAAATTATTAATAAAATATAATAGAATATTAATAAATTAATTTTAACATAATAGAATATTAATAAACTAATAAGAAAATAATCATAAAATAATAAACTATTAATAAAATATAATAATAATATTATTATTAATGTAAGAATAAAATAATAATATCTTTATAAAATATTCACAAAATATTAATAAAGTAATAATAAACAAAATAAAAAATTTTCAGTTGATTCCAATTCCAATTGCTGATGAACCAAACAGCAACAATCGGAATCCAATTCCGATTCAGATCCTGTCCGCAAATGAAACAGACCCTTGAAAGAATGAGAAATCATATATAAATCTTTTGAGAGAGCTTCCCTAGACAAATCAATTCTAACTTGCCTTGTAGAGAGATGATGTGGGCATGTGGCTGATCTGAACCATCTATTGGACTACGAACTCCTGGGATTGACCAAGTGTTCAGTCCCCAAGTCCACATGTCAAACCAATAACCAATCGTTTTACATGCCAAATCCATATTTATTTCACAAGCGTAGAATTTCTGGAGAATTTCCTGTCTATGGAAGAAAAACATACACTCCATTGACACCGCCTATACACTTCTCTTATACAACCTCGAAAGCCTAACTATTCCCTTTTGAACTCAGGGGGATAATCACAACATAAAGCAGCTACTTCAGGCCATCTTATTGCTGTCCTAGAAGAAGATATCATTTGGAAATGCCCATGACCATGAGCTCCAACCAAAATCATTCATTTAGGGGCCTCCTATAAATACCTTTGAAGTGATCCACAAATGCCCCAACAATATCAGACTTTTGGGTGAGTCACATCATCAATCACAAGCTCAGAGACAGGTTTTCCTCCTTAAATTTAGGCTATGTTTGGTTTCAGCAACCAGATGTTTACTGTATTCCTATCTTCCTTAAATAATAGCTCCTCCAACTGCTTCCTTAAATGCCATATTTCCTCTTTATCCCTTTGCTCAAAAGTCCCTTCAATTTCCTTAGTGTCCAAATCCTCAATTCTGCCAATCACTTCTTGTTTTTTCTCTTCAAGTCTTCCAAGCTGATGCAGATTCCACTCCTTGATTCTAGATTTTAACTCCTTTAGTTTCCAACGAAACTTCATCCCTTCCCAATTCACCCTTGGGTTACCTTTTTTTTTTTTTTGATCAATAACACTTTCATTAATTCATCAGTAGAAAATTTACAAGTGGAAGACAAACACACTTATCTTCCAAGAGTCACAAAGAACTTCAAGAAATGAAAAAAGAAAATACAAAGATACAGAGATACTAACG